TGTGTTTCGAAGTTACTTAGTCCCTCTCACACGCGGTATCAACCCAGGCTCCGAGTTTTGACCGCAACGAAAGGGACCGTTAAAGTTCGATTGTCGTTCAGCGCAAGAGTACAACCAAAGGTCTATCACGCACGAAGTAATATTTCACGTGAATCTAATGTGTGCGTATGCCAGAAATAAAGCCCAAAGCTACGTATTTTGCTTCAAGTCATATGGAGTAATTGGGGACATTGTGGTATAACCTGTTCGTCACTTCAACACTATGCCTGAACTTTCGGCTTTTTGACTATCAAGGTAGCACATAGTTGGGAAAATGTTAGTTGGGGTTTTGATGAAACTGAATATCACCAAGCCGTGAAGCCCCATGCCATCTTGGAAGGGTAAAAAAAAAAAAAGCTGACCTCCATATTTCGATCTTGACGTTCTCCTTCCGACCACACCTGCAAAATCCAAGGCACCGCGAATAATCTTATACCTACAAAACGACAAATGATATACGTAAGTGGCTAGGAGTTCAACTACAATGAATTTTTGACTGAAATTGTGGATTATGAAGGAAGTGAGAATGAAGAGATCACCTTAAACCAATCAAATCCTGAGTTCGACCACCTCGAACAAGAACGACCGAATGCTCTTGAAGATTATGTCCTTCTCCTTGAATATAAGCCGCAATTGTTTTCCCGTTAGCCAATTTGACTTTAGCTACTTTTCGAACGGCTGAGTTGGGCTTCCTAGGTTTCATGGTATAGATTTTTGAGCACACTCCTTTCCTTTGAGGACAACCTTCTAATGCTGGTACTTTATTTTCTCGAACTCGAGGTTTCCGACATCCTCTGATAGTCTGATTAATAGTTGCTGAGAGATTAGGAGAGCTTGAAAATGATCGGATTGGTGATCGGAAGGTATTGGTTTGAGGTGGCCAAGATCGTAAGGTGGCTGAGGAAGATGTACACAAACTGAGGAACGTTCGGGAAAGCCAATGTTCAGTTGATGGAAGTGAAATGGATGAAGTCACAGAAAGCATTCGTCTAAAGCGATTTGCCATTTAAAGTCGTGGCTGGACAGGCGTTTGAATAGACTGGATGGGGTGATAAAGACTCAGCGGTAAGCGACTGAAAAGCTAAGGCCAAGTGAGAATCGGGAGGGTATGTATTTGCTCGTGGTCACGGTTGAGTTGATCAAATTTTGGGAGAGTTTTGAAGAGGTTCTTGTCGGAACGCGCTTGATCGATTATTGGATACAAGACTACTACAAGGACGGTATGACTGTATCGTATCTGGGACAAATTCATTTCTCACGGTTACTGTATGTAAATCGCCAATTTGCGGAGGTTCCATTCACCTCACCCACACTAACAACTGAAGCACAGGATGATTGGACATCAAGGGAACATATGGCTCATAGCTGGGCAGTGCCATTTGAGTAAACCATCTGGACACCTGCACCATACAGAGAGTTGCTGTTGGTGTGTCCAACAACCTGCTCACATCATA